AAAAATGGAATGTTAAAACATCAATTCGATGTCTAGCTCAGTTTCGCAAGCACCTAATACCGTTCCGTCTTACACTAACATTGGAAGCATTAAACTTTACACAGTCAATGAAAAAAATAGAGATTTTTCTGTTCGAGTGGTCTTCGGCGCTTAGGTGTCCTCGTGCGTCGTCGGATTCAGCGGACTGAGCACGATCCGCGGGTCCCTCTCGATCATTCGGTCGGTATCTTCGTCTTTGTGCTCTTGCGGCATCAGTTTACTTTGTTCGGTGTCTTCGGATGGAGGTTGATAGGCGACTTCAGAGACGGGAGCGTACTGCGCCGCTACCAGTAGATCGGTGGACGGATTGACTGTGAGAGCTTGGCCGGTAACGGGATCGAGCGGGTCTTTACCCGTACGGCAGCACAATCTTCGTGACTGACGAAGAAACATTCCTAAAAGCGATGAGTTATTGGGTGAAGTGCTCTTGGTTACATACCGAAGAGAAAGACGCCCACGCAAAAGATGAGTGCACCCAGTATCGTGCAGGTTAAGTAGAAGCCTTCGCCGATAGTCTGTGGATCTGAGTAGAAAATGGCACCGTTGATTAGAAGTATGAGACCGATTACCGCACATATAGCCCCTGCTCCTAGGAATAGCGTAGGGATGTTATCATGTATGGGGGCACACGTCAAACCACAGGGGTTACCAGATGTCCTGGTGAATGATGTTAAGTAGCTTATAGGTCTGTCGGACCATCTTTCTTGCGGCGATGCGTTGGCTTCATAAGTAACCGTCGTGGGCTGATAAACTGCCCCGCTCGGTGACATTTTTGTGTCTATTAAAAAAAATAAGGTTATGTAGAACGAAACAAAACAAGGTCGTATACTATTTTTATCCCAATTGAATTCGGACGTAATTAAAATGAGTCATTTATAATTGAATACAATGGAAAACTTTGAACTTACACTGTTTACCGCTATTTATTTCGTAAATAGTCACTTTGAAAACAGTTTTAAAATCCTCTTCTCAAAATATCACGCAATATGGACACTGAACTTTACAATTTTTAAACCAGGGATCACCTATTTCCAATTTCAAGGTTCTTGTGGTAACTCACTTCTTTACAATACAGGTAATTTATTCCCACTGGCTCAAGTTCGGTCCATTCCGCACGGGCACGTAGGAAGTGCACCTCATATGGATACTGGTTTCTATCGATATTCATTAATCAGTGGCGTGCGTACCTGCGGTCACCTAATAATGGCCGCTCTTTTGTACACAAATTTGTTATACAGGGCGAGTTTATTTCGATGGTAAGAATGGGAGCTTAATTGCACCAGGAAGCACTTACTGCTCCCTATCCGGGAGAATGACTTTATAACGCTTTGGTCTTAGCAAGATAGCTCGGATCACGTCCCTCCCTTGCGAGGAGGGGATCTGTCCTGAGGGTTTCCTCCCAGATCCGCCCGTGCCCAAGGCTGCCTCGATCCTTCCATTCATCCCAATCGT